TGAATCACAGACCATCAGAGTAAAAACAGCATTTCATTGTCTGCATCCACATTTGTGGAAGAAGCATGAATTTGCAGTAAAAGTTGATCCTCTGTTCTTATTTTAGTGGAAGCGAGCCACAGTGCTGGGTGGAAACAGAAATGAGCAAATGCGGTGAACTGTTGAATTGTTTAAATTAGTTTACATGCTGGGTGTGGAACGCTCCTCCGAGCCGCTCATGCCAGCCCTCGGCTGTAAGGCGTTTGATTTCTGGTTGGTGCACACGATGGTGGCACACGTCAGGATGCTTAGATAAGGATTATGGCTGCAGATTTTGGATGTTGCTAACTTTATAATTTGCCCTCCAGATGATGTGATTTCTACACAGCCCGTCTGTTCAAGGGAGATATGAGAAGGAGAATTTGGGGGCAGAGGGTGGAGGGGGTGCTTGCTGTCATGCTTGTCCTAAGTGACAGTGATCCTGTACAATCTCTGTTTTAAACAGCTCCTTCAGTTTTGGAAATAAAGCATATTTCCGTTGAACTGGGCACATTTGTTTTCCAGATGAATGCAGAGACAGGCGGTCAGTTTGTGCTTACATGCCAGATGTGGCACTGCTTCGGAGCGGTGAAGATGTTTTACACAGCTGTAATATGGAAACAGTCTTGACTGGGCTCGAGTGTCTTTACAGTGACTCTGATACTGTTGAAAACACTAAGGGAATTCCAGACATCCTCTCAGCCAGTGGTTCATTTTCATCTGGAAATAGTGGGAAGCAATTTATTTCAAGACAGATGCATATAAAGAATCTAGAGAGAAGAATAAAGCAGGGTAGAGGCCATTTAGTTTTGATGCTGCAGCACATATGCTGTGTTGCTTTGCGGACACCCAGCACATTCCTGCAGGCTCCTTCCATGCTTTATCTTGTAGAAAAAGCTGACTGGTGCTATAAGACGGAACCACTAAGCCCTGCAAATGGAAAAAGGAGACACGACTGCTGTCATTCACGGGCTTGTAGTATTTGGTAAAAAGCACTGCGCTCAAAAATTTGGTTGCCATTCTCTAAAGTGCAGGACCTAAACATTCCCCTTTGACTTCCACAACCACCCCCACCCCTGAGAAGCCCTTGCTGCTGCTCGGCATCGCTGGCCTCCAGCTGAAGGAGCTGCTTGTTCCAGGAGGGAGGTGGGGCAGTGGTGGGGGGTGCTCAGAGGAAGTGAGCTCCCCGAGGGGATACGGGCCCATGTCCTGTTTCATATGCAAGGCGCAGTGCTGGCTAAGCCTGCTGACAGCCAGCCATGTCCCCACAGTGGACAGCACAACAGCTGGTGGCTGTGCATTTCAATGGCAGCTGAAGGAATATGTGCATTCTATTTTTATGGATGTTTGGCAAAATGCGACCATTGCAAACGTCTGCTGCAGAGCTTAACTTTGCCCTGAGTGCGTGGGAGGGAGGAAAAGTGTTTGTTTTTTTAGCAGATCCAATGCTGCGCTTTTTGTTAAGTTTTTTTGGGGCGGGGGGGGGGGGGCAAAAAGAAA